CCCAATCATCAGATCTCTCTAAGATTTTACACATATATTTGTGATGCTCTATTGAATACTCATGCAAAATTTCAAAACATTCTATAGAAAATGGATTTTGGGACTAACGTCCTTTGACCTCGTCAGCAACGCGAAACCGAGTCGTTTCAATTTTAACGAAACGAAGGAAATTCCTAATAACATCTCGTCAATAGAGAAAACCTGATGTCAAAGGTAATCGTTCGACCGTTCATCTTCCGTGTCACGTGTCCCGTTAATTAACGAGAACCATTCGAGGCATTCCTTTTTCGCTTTGACACGCCGATACACGGTGGGCAAGAACAAAAGCGAAAACCGTATGCGCCGCGCGTCAATGGACAAAAAATAAAATTCCACTCGCTCGATACCGTTTGTGCGTCGAGTTTTTCCGCTTTATTAAACGTCGAATGCTGGCTGACTTCTGCGCGGTCGGCCGGCCGGCCCGATGAAACTTCTTTGTCTACGTATATATACGCGGGGGGGAATGGATCCGCGCGTAATTGGCAGCAATTTTGCGTCTCGTTATTGAAAAAAGAAAAATCGGCCGACCCCGGGCGAGGGGGTGAAAAAAAAGGAAGAGGAACAAGTTTCCGGCGGAACCACTTTACCAATTAGCGAACACTCGGCAAGAGCCAGAAGGAGAATTCGGAACGGCGTCGTTATACCTCCTTAAAAGTTGAGCTGCCTTTTTCCAACGTTTGAAACGCGATGCCATTATTAAAACTTTTGATTGTCCGCCATCGAGAATATTGCCGCGTTCCTATTCGTTCAATGAACGATTGCGTTCATCCTCCTCGGGCGAGCCATGACCGGGAGAAGAGTTAATTTTCGTATACAATATTCAGAACTGCATATATCGAAGTTAACTTCCGCTCTATCTGGGGGAAGGTATACACGACTCGAGACTTATCTATATGACTTAAAAGCTGCATCAGCGAGAACGGTATCAGTCCTCGTGCTTGATTACAACTTCCTCGATGGTGTTCCACGACGCTGGAAACCGCGACGCTTGCAAAATTCGCCTCTCCTTCGGACGGACTAAAGCCAGCTTCTAGAAAGACTTTAATTGGCCTAATCGATTAAAGAACCATCGGCCGGCTAATGCGATTAGCACGGCTGAACTCTTTTCACTCCGACGCGAACGATCCGAGCGTCGATCCTTAATTGAATTCGAAGTTTGTGAAAGATTTGTTCGATGTTTGACTGAAATAATTAGAGAATAATTAATTGATAATCTGATTTTTAACGCGTTCCGCACGCCTGTTCCGCGCGTGACTTCCGCTCGACCGAGTCGATTAATCGAATGTCCGCTGTTAAAACGGTCGGCCTAAAACTGGTAGTTCGGTAATGCGGCAATTAATGGAGCAGGTGAGTTAATCGCCCATTAATCTACCGGCTGTTCCGTGAATGCGCTCGATACGAACAGTCTCACCGGGGATATTGAAACTCGCTCGATTCATTCCCTCTTGCTGTTCGTTAATATCCACCTAGCTAAATTAGCTATTGTTCCCCGACATTTTTAGAGGCTTTTTAGCTAATTGCGCGCCGCTTAAACGATACGTACGAACGACGCGTATTAAAACTTTAGAGCGACACATACTTCAAAACCAATACGACACAAATTGCAGTGCTGGAGCCACGGTTTTCTAAAGCTCGTGTTGTTTTTTTTTTTTCTGTTAAATGTCCGACATGGAGGATTTTGGAAAAATAGACTCCGGTTTTATTCGGCTCACGGGAGCTCATTTATTAATAGCAGTAAGTAAAACGAGCTTGACGTCGAGTGTGTCGTTCTTTGTTTCAGAGCCGGGGACCGGGCGGAACGGAGGTAAGAGGGAGCTTCCCGAAACACAGTACCGCTCGAGTAACCCCCTTTTTCCTCTGGAACACCCTTTGGACTCGCTCGCGCGTAAGTACACACAACTTTGATCAACGCCGGCGACGACATTCATCCCGGTTCCCTTTGTATTTTTGTCCCGTCTCGCGCAATCGTCGCGTACGAATATTCGTCGCCGGGCTATTTACTTGAATATAAGGAGAAACAAAAACCAAAAGGGTTCTGACGGAACGGGGACTTGTTTGAATTCTCACAGGAAGTATGAAGAATGCGTATAACGTGCGAGAATATGCACTGCATTCGCAAAATGTAGATCCTTTTTTTCGAATTATATGCAAATCTCAATTTACGTCGTATTTCATAAATTGACATTGGGAAAGATTTATTTCTCACGGAGATTCGCGGTTTATTTATACAGGGTGTCCCAGAAAAAATGTTAGAGGCGAAGAGAGGTGATTCTGTGAGTGTTTCTGAACAACAATTTCCTTTGCCAAAATGCAAAGTGTGGTTTTTAAATTATTAACGAAAAATACTGATCAATAAGAGCGCGTATTATAGTCGATTCTCACAGAGCGTGCGATGCGATGCGATGCGCTGCGTTTCCGTATTTTTCGAGCCTACGGCCGGGTTTACCAGTGCCGTAGACTGTACCCTACAGCATATACTAAAAGCATGTAAACGTCGGAGACTTTGGAGGGCCCCCGTAATAGTTAGCCGAGAACCCGTAACTCGAGGACCCAAAGTACGGGTCAGTCTCCCCGCTGTTCACTTACACATAGACGAAAAGGTCGATTTTATGGCCTCTGCGATGAAATCCTCGGCATTTCTTGGCGAGAATACTCTCGGAAAAATCGCATGCGTTTCTTTTCGTCTACGTGTAAGTGAATCGCATCGACCTTTTCGTCTATGTGTAAGTGGACAGCGGGTGTGTGACCCCTACTTTTGGTCCTCGAGCTACCGATTCTCGGCTAGCTAACACTGGGGCCCTCCGAAGTCTCCGACTTTTACATGCTTTTAGTATATGCTGTAGGGTATAGCCTACAGCACTGGCAGACCCGATCGAAAACTCGAAAAATACGGAAACGCAGCGCATCGCATCGCATCGCACGCTCTGTGAGGATCGACCATAAG